AAATATGCATAAGAAACACAATGAAATGATACCACTTATATAATTATAATATTATATAATTTATTCATATATATTTATATATATTTTATAATAATAAGTATATATTACAGTGATTGAATTAATTAGAGTTATATTACTGTAACTCTAATTATTTTTTTATTTTTAAATGATTATTTAATGTTTATAATCATAGTTCTTCTCACTTTCTTAAATTTTCTCTTTCTGTTTATTTTTGTTGCTTATATTTCTTGGTGCTGTTTTATTTATTTATTTAATTAACTTTTTTTATTCCTTTATGTGTATTGCACGTGCGTTATTTACTTTTTTAAACAAAAGAAGCAAAATTATATAATACTGTTACACCATTAAGTCTTTGTTATAACACAACTGTCAAAACGATCTTCGCATGACAGCCGCTCGGAAAGAAAACGCAGGGAAAGAACTAATTAGCATCACGGAAAAAATGTAACAATAACTTCAAACAATACATTCGAGTATCAAGTACTTAACATGCTTTTTTTTTAGAAGTAAACTAATGAATTTTAATTAAACTGAATTCAGCCGAATTCAGCCGATAATTATAACTATATTATTAGCTGACAAATTGTTTGAAATCTGCCTCGCAATTTAATAAAGATTTTGATGACAAGTGTAAAATTTCGATGTGAATTTTCAGGGTAAATTTTTATTTTAAAATAAGGATGAATAAAGATATGGCGAAGAGAAAAGAGAGTTTCTTGTCGAGAAGAAAGATGCTCCAATGTTTCAGCTTCGCGCGAGATTCTGCATGTTCACTCGCGAGATCGTAGAATCGCGACGAATAAAAAAAAGAACGAAATTGGGGGCGCGATCGATCTCGAGATGAAAAGGAAGAGCGATTTTCTCGAGGGCTTCATAGAAAGAACCACTCGGTGTTTGTGACAAGAATCGGTATAAGTGTTAGCAATTCTATCGACATACAATACAGACATTCGCGCGAGCGCACGCGCACACAATTGTGATGCTGAAACGTCGTTTGACGTATCTTCGTATATTTGCATCATGTCAAGGTCGTTTCTTGACATGAGTCAAGACCAAGTCCGAGATCGAACGCGTACCCCCCACAATAGATTACTCCTGCCTGTTCGTATCTCCGGGACCTTGCTTATAACGCGCATACGCGGCGAAGGATAAGGTCTCGGAAAATAAATACTCGCGTCACCGTTACTTTACAGGCAAGAAAAGAAAAAAAACGAAAATAACACCCCTTGCAATAACACTTGTTAAATTTGTAGCTACTTCGAGATCTTATCCACAATGACAGTTTCTGCTGCATCATCATTAGTCTCCGTTTACTTATGAAAGTACGAAGTTACAAACTTTGGGGGAAGTTATCATCCCCCATTTATCTTGATCATAAATAGCCATTTTACACGCTTACTTTTCTTTATTAAAAAATTAATTTCAATAAGTTTGGCTTGAAATTAGAGAATGCGAGAAGAATAAAAAAAAAAAGAAAGAGGTCGATTCATCTGTTGAAGATGTCGGAAATGTAGCAAGAATGAATAAAATTAATTACCTGCTGCTGCGTCTCCTGTCCTGCGAGTGCATCGACACGATCGCCGAGCTCGGCATCGATCGTAAGCTGCTGGTGGTCGAGCTGGAGGGACTCGGTGGCGCAGGTCGGTCCTCATGGTCCTCGTCCACGGACGTTCTGTCGGGCGACGGTGGGCTCTTCGATCCCGCGTTATGGTGATTGTGATGAAGGTAATGCAGCTGTAGCCGCGCGTGATCCGGATGCAGCAGACTGGCGCGACGTGACTGCTGCGGCGTCATCGCCGGGCTGTTGCAGGTGGCACCGCATGGCGACGGCGATGCCTTTAATGCATTTTTTTTCATAAAAAATGACAATATCTTTCTGTCACAACGGTTGTGACAACGAGTCACGAATTGCGCAAAAAGATGATTTCATATAATAAAATGACTAACGTGACTAATCATTCTATGCAAAAGAGAATAGTTTTGCATTTAAAAATGTCCGTCCTCGGCGAAAGTTTAATCCGTGACATGTGCAAGAGAATTATTTGAAGAGCATTTACATTTATGAATATTCATGTAAGCACATTTGAAGTATTGATCTTCTTTACGTTTGAAGATTTGATAGGGGGAAAATAGAACTGAATTTATTACACTTCAAGCATTACGATATGATTGTCAAGAAGGGGACTTGGGTTTACAGCTGATAGGGGGAAAATAATAATATCAGGTAAAAATCGTACCTGGATGGACTCGATACCGCTGTCGTTGACACTTTCCTGCACGTCTGGGAATACAAAAGCTTGGCCCTGTCCGTCGGTGTCGGCTCTGGGCGAGTCGCTGGGCCATACCTGAAGAAGAGGAAGTCCCCCGCGCGTCTCGTTGCAGACTTCGGCGACGACAACGTTGTTCGTGGATATCCCGGTATTGAGGCACAAACCCAACTCTTTCAGTGGCTTCTGCTAAACGACATTTAATCGTTAATCATTTCATGACTTTGTGCTAAATTCTATACGTATATATTTTTTTACAAGAGAGAAATATTTCATCCTTTCTTTTTTATTTATTCCTCACACAGGTTCAAACTTGCGTTGAAATAAAATGCACTTTGAAAACACACGTTAGAATATCTTGAATACGACAAGTTGTAAATAAAATGGAATTTGAATTTGGTTGTTTGCGGTACATGCCACAAGTGCATACTTGGAACTGTATTGACTTTGAAATATTTCGAGGTTCATATCGCGTGGTACGAGCAAGAACGCCTTGCGATTTTGAGTCGCTCGATGACTTTCGATGATGATTATCGCCGCTAGAAAACTTCGTAATGTTGTCGTGACACGAGACAAACATTTTCTGCGTTCGCGCTACAAAAGGCCGGTCCTTCACTGGCTGGATATTAGCATGTGAAATATTGAAAAGAAATATTTTTAGCCATGGTCGCGTTTCAAGAGCAGATCAATCGATGAGATACTCAGTTGTTTCGCTGCCGCGAGCTTTACTTCCATCGTAATGACGTTTAAAAAAATAATAAAAGTAACAAAGAGAATCATGAGTATAGACAGGTTTTTTTTTTATTGAGATAGAGGAACACCTCAAAGGCTCGAACGCAACTATAAACATCAGAGATCTCTTGTATTGTCATATGAGCGAGGGATAGATTTCACGATTATTATTGCAAGCAGTGATAAATCGAACACGATTATAAATGCCAGAGATCTTTTGTGTTGTTGCGTAAACGGAGCGCAGATTTCACGATTATTATTGCAAACCAATGATAAATCGAAACTTCCGCACGATATGCTATTATCAGCGCGCTTTGTCACGAAATATCATGCTCGTGCTTATTTATCGTTTATTCGTAATCCACAAAATATCTTTGACGTCATATCAGTAATATGACTAGTTATATTAATTTTCAGTATATAACTAATTATAGCTAAAAATTCGATAAATTCCAAATATTACGATTTTTTATGAAATTAATATCATAATAAATTAATTATATTATTAAATTATTATTAAAACTCATTTAATATTAATATCATTCAATCGTCAGAATAATACGATTTCTCTAAAGTCCAATAATAATTTCATCTGCGCTTATAAATTGACGTAATGACAATCTAGCTTAATCTTAAAAATAATATGTCATTATAGGATTCGTGGAAAAAAATGTTATACATATTAAATCACGAATGGTCCATCCAGATCCAATTTCATTATTGTCGGTTATATTTCACCGCTTTGTCCAATGTTATGTATATTTTTTCCATCATATTATCGATTACTGAGTGATAATTGGACAATTATCGGCATGAATCGGTTGTAGTTTATTGAAATAAAAGATATGGTGCAATCTGAACTGTCATCTTTTAATAATTTCTCATTGAGTTATTATTCCTACCCTTGCTTGTGCCTCACCTTCGGCCTTTTTGCGTCGGAGTTTATTCGTCGCAAGGGCTCTCTATCCGTCGATCGAGCGATCTTGATTTTATTAAACCTGCGACAGCATGTTGTGCGGACATAACGATGGATAATAATAATACATGGTTTAAAGTTCAAAATGTCTCGCTCGTCTCGCCACGCGAGAGTCGCATTCACGCAGGAAGGCGCGCGTCCACCGACGAGCTGCAACCGGGGGTTAAACGGCTCGCTGGTTTCCGGTGCGGCGAGCTTGCAAAGGTCGCCACGCTGTACAAAAAAGCGTCGAGAAAAAGGCGGCAGGCCATAGAGGCGTTGCGAAACAGGTCGATAAAGCGCGAGCGAGAAAGGAAGTATGTCTAGTGAAAAAACGAAGCGAAGCTTAACCGAAATTCGAATCTATTTCTGTCTCGCTTTCCTTAATTCTTTATCTGTTTCTTATAAAATTACGAAGAACAATATTTCGTACTTTCTCTACTGAATAAAAAAAAAAGCTGACTGATGGGGAATAAAGTAGCGCCAAGGATTGGTCAAAGAAGAGACGAAACAAATCGATAATGCGCGAGCAGGAAGTGTGTCGGCGATATGACGAAGGGTTGTAACCCGAAAAAAAAAATAATATATATATATATATATATACCGTCGAAAAATCGAAACGAGATACAAAGTTCGTAATTACTGCTCCATCGTTGGTCGAGAAAAAGAAAAACAATTACAAATGAAACGAAAATGTGGGAAACGTGTCGCATGCTTGACCGTTTATCTTCACTTCATTTTCTCCCCTTGATTCTTATTCCACGCCATTCCATTCGTAATGTTTGCACTTAAGCAAAATCCATCAAACATTTTTTTTACTGCTTCGCGGAATGATTCCGAGTCACGCTAAACGTCGCAGTGAGGGGAATGCACGGGGGAGTCCACTCAAATCGATAATGCAAAGTCTTTTTTTAAAGTGCGAACTTGTTTCCGCCGTAATAAAAAGTTCAACTCGTCGTAGACATGGACTCTTTTTCATCGATATCGTTGTTGAGAGATAAAAAAAAACATAGTTAACTGCACGGATAAGAATTACGCAACGGAAAAGAATTACGTTTATTTTCTTTACCTTTTTTTTTTTTTGGTAGCATTGCTCTCAGGATTTGTATCGCACTCGTGACTATTTCTCGAATCAGGCCAGAATAACGTTTTCCAGGCAGCGGAAAACGCGCGAATAATCGAGAATTACTTCGCGTTCGGTCACACATTCGACCGCGATTCGCGTGCCGGGCGTGTTAACACTTTTTTCTCCTTTTTCTTCCACGGGACTTCCGCCAAATGGGAGCTGCGGGATGCGAATTTGGCGGCACTCCAAATTGACTAGTGGAAAACCCCACGAAAGAGAGCGCGAAGATTGTTGTATGCGTAAGGAATAACCGCGAGAACGCATCTCCTTTCTTTCATCTTCGATCTTTGACTAATTCCGAAGTCTCGGAGGAGTCGAGAAGTCTGTAAGTCGAGAGGATACGTCGCGAATCCCCTTGGAAACGCTCGCTGTGCCCGACAATTCGCGAATTTTAACGTTCAAACAAGACTTGCAGCCAACTAAAAGTTTCGAAACTTCAAGAGTCACTCTCTCGAGTCGAACAATCTTGCGGAGAGTTAGAGTAAATTACGTTGCGTGGGAACTGCGAAAGCTCCGTTTCGCGAAAATCTCGCGAAATGCATTTTCCCTCCCTTCCCCCTCTCCCCACGATTCGATTTCATCCAACAGCCATGAAACGCGACAATAAAAATATCGTGCGCCACGCTATTATGCCCTAACATGATCAGAAACTTTCATATTTTAATAATTTTATGGCACTCTTACAAAATTGATACGTTTATAGGGTTTTACTTTATTGAAAAATATCGTGCGCGTCTCGCGTGCACGTCAGTTTTTCGTAGACGGGTTTATTAATCAGGGATTATATACTTTGCGTCGCTTATTCGATCGGACATTTTACGTGAAGGGAGCCAATAAAATTTTAATGTAGCGTACTCCTTTATGATTCTTCCTAAAGTCTGAAAGGTCATTAGAAATGAATTACGGCTGGCTAATCGATTGGAAATGCAAGAGGGTAGGCTGTTAATAATACCAGCATATAATACCGATTCCCATAATTACATAAAGAGACACGCTTGTTCGTGACCATGACTGTAGAAGATCTCGTCTTCCTGTATGGCCTTGGCACGCGTCGGCGGTCGATGAAGGCAAGAAAAAAAGCGCGGAGATCGTTTTCTTGGCACGATGCTTGTCTCGACTAAATGAAAAGACCCTCGCTCGGTACCGTTATACTTTCTGACAGTTTTCGCGCACGTTTATTGCATATGGAAATGTTTCCAAACAGGACGAAACAGTAATCTCGTGAATTTCTGACAGATTGATCCCGCCTAGTCATTTTTTTCATAATGGAGTTAAATTTTCAACCTCAATATTAATATCTTATATAAAAGAATATTTAATTTTTTTTAAGTCCGATAAGTTCGTGGTGCCCTTTATAATTTTATACAGTCTGTTAAGTTACGTTGATTTTAAAAATGAAAAGAAATTTAAAAAAATTTGACAAAAGAGCCGTTAAGTAAAATGAAATAGAAAAAGTACGGCAAAAGAAAGTTTTCTCATGTAAAATATAAAACGTCCATTGTATGTGTTATACGCCTTCGAATTTCTTTGGTTTCCAGTGCAGCATATCGCTCGTAAACTGAATTCAACAAGTTTTCGTAGCGGCCATCCCGGCCGCTGTAATCTAATTCAATGTACGAGGGACATCGTAAAATATATTCCAGAAAACGTTCAGAAGCGATAAAAGTGAAGAGATAAAACCTAACGAGGTAAATTCATTTTGCGTAACGCGTGTTTTATACATGCAGAAAAATAAATATATAGTTAGATAATTGAATGACAGTTAGATAATTGACGATAATTGAATGATAGTTAGATAATTGACGATAATTGAATGATAATTAGATAATTGATGATAATTTGTGAAAAAAAAATACTGTACAAAAAATATTCAATTTATTTTGGCAATAACTGTTATTGATTTAATTTGCCTTCTACGATAGCAATTGTTTGCGGTGCAATAAGCAGCGGTCTACTGATCGTTTAGGACAATCTTTTCGACCCACCTGTATGCTTCTTGCCTAGTTGACTTTCAACAGAGACGCGACAGATTCTCAGGCGGAAAACGATTGGCATTTTTATTTCAATGACACTGAGAAAGCAATCTATACACCGATCAATTCCATCAAATATAATATATATTTATGATAACCGTACGAAATAATTTCATGTATACCAATCACACAAAAAGATGACGAACTAGATTGACGGACCGATGGATCCGTTCATTTACATCCGTTTCATTTCACTTTTGTAAATCCCGGATCGCGTCTTTCGTAAATCATAATCAGTTCGAGATAGAGTCGGAGTCAACGGGCGCGTACGAGGTGTTTACACGCCTACGCTCACTTTGACGAAATGGGCACGCGACGTCGGCAACGCAGGATCCTACCTGCATGCTCCTGATCGCATGCCAGAAGATCCTGGCACGATCCTCCGAGGCGTCCGTTTATGTGGTCCAGGATTACGACGGGGTTGCTCGCACACTCGATCTCCTCGAGGTTCGAACTGCGACTGGATCCGGCCGCGCGCGCGGCAGGACCGTGTGCTTCGCCTCACGGGGATTGCCAGTGGTCCGGCGGCCACGGTGTGGGAAGGGGAAAAAGCGAGGCGGACAGAGGGTTGTTTTCACTTTGCCGGTCGAGGGTGAGAACGGTGGTAGTGGTGGTGGTGGTGATGGTGGTGGTGGTGGTGGGCCGACGCTTATCGGTCGCGGGCCGATGAGCCGCATCGGCAAGTGAACGCGAAAGATCGGATGTGGCTTAACGCCCCGTTCTAATTTTTCAGTTATCCTCTCTACAGGAAGAGAACGAAAAAAGAAGAAGAAGTCGCCGCGAACGCGCGCCTTGTCC